TCCATAGCTAGTGGCCCCACCTCCCAAGTCGATAGTTTCGTCACATCGTCCATGAACGTGCAAATCGACAGTTTCTTGCACCGTTTTGGCACAGGGCAGAGCGCCTTGAGCAATGTGTTTGCTTCGCTTGGGTCTTCAGCAAGCCAGGCAACAATGACAGGATTGTAGCAATCGTCGAAGTCCCGCGGTGCTAAACAGAAGCCCATCTGCGCCCCCGTCGCACTGGTCAAGTCTGCCCATCCGTTGCCCCCTGCAATGCCCATTGCTTGATGCTGAGCTGCCCCCAACGCAAACATTTCATCGCTCTCTGCCGACTGACGCGCAACCGTGGCCTCAGGTACCTCTCGTCGTGTGCTGGCGAAGGCGTCCAAGATTGGTCGTCGCATGCGTTTGTTGAGCTTGCCTGCGCCTCCAACGCGCAAGTTGCGAGGTGACCAGCGCGCTCTCCCGCGACCGATGTTTTAGGCCTCCGCGGGCCCAGCCAGGCCTGTCAACCTCTAGCGCCCTTTCATGCACCCCAGCGTGCCATGCAAGACCCCAGGAGCAGTCGCTGCCCATTGGTCTCCGTCCAGCAATCCCTTCTTTGCCATTGCTCTTACCGGGAGAAAATCTCCGCGCCCGTCGCGCGTCATGCGGCGCGCGCTGCGTCTGCCCCACGAGCGCGAACAATTTGTCCAACTGTGTCTGAAAGAAAGGTGCCGCATGACCGTTCGCGAGTCGCTGGCTCCCGATTCCAGCGCCCTTCGCGCGTCCAAATACCCAGTGCTCATCCACTATAATCTCCCGGGGCGCCTGCCCTTCCCCCCTCTGCCTTCTTCCGAAGCCCTCGCCGATCATCCATCCCATCTTCTCCAGCGGCCTCCTTCCTTTCTCCATGCTCCTTATCTCCATGTGCCTCCTTAGATCCTCCCCGTCCTCCTTCGCGTCCGCTCTGTTATGGGCCGCGCTCGCCAATGCCTCCGGCCTCTTGTTTGGGTGTTCCATGCGCGCCGTCGGAGCAAGCAGAGAAAGAGATGCCTCGCTAGGTAGCCCTCAGCACCAGCGCCCTCGTGTCCACGTCGTCATGCAAGAGCTCAGTGTGTTCTTCGCTCTCGGCCTCGTTGTTTTGCGCGTGTCTGGCCCCGATCCATTGTTTTGCATGGCATTCCACCCTCCGTCGGTGGGCGCGACGGTTCGGTAGCCCACTCCTTTTTGCTCCAGTAGGTCACACATGCATGATCGTACCGTTTCTTATGCCCCCCCCAATTCGCGCGCACTCCACCCGTGGAGCATGCGTCTCCGCCCGCCGCCCCCCCAGATGCGCCTCCCAGATTTCCGCGGCAAATTCCTTCTGTCGTCTTTTTGTTTCCGTCTTTCTGTTGGCCTTTAGTGCCGCCGATGCCGGTTGTGGCATTTCCTGCGCGTGCTCATGCCCCTCCTTCTCCTCCTCCGTACACCGCTCCTCTCCCCCCCTGAGTCCTCGCCTTTTGTCCAGCAGCATCATCCCGGCGTTCTGTGGCTCTTGCTGCCACTCGGGCATCTCCCGCCTTCTCGGCGGGGTGACCTCCTTAAGCGCGGTCCGCGCTGCTCCGCCGAGTAAGCCCCACATCCTGTCAGGAGTCTTCCTCGCCGCCGCCTCCCTCCACTCCTTCTCCGTCGTCTCCCTCGCCTCTTCCTCCACCTTTTCGAAGACCTCCCCCCTCCTAACTCCTTCTCTCAGGCGTCTCATGAGCGCCGTGCGATCCAGCGGCGGCGCGTGCTGCATGCGAGTGTAACTGCGAGACGCAAGGCCTTGAGAGACCTGCAGACCAACGGGCGCGTGAACCCTTGGGAACCTGCTCCTGACGGCTTGTAGGCGCCTCCCCGAGTTCTTGAGGACGCGGCATTGCTGCGCCAGCCCCCTGGCCCCCGACGGGATCGCGAACTGGTCGATCCTCGGACCTCCTCCTTAAGCCTCGTAGAACGTTTGCTGCGCAAGCTCGCTGTCCGACCTCGGCATGAACAGTTGGTTGCCAGCACGCAACTTTCTGAAGCGCTTCCTATTTTCGTTCTCGCAACGGGGGTAGTACCTGCCCACTGCCCGTCCCTGCGTGCTCCCCACACCCACTTCGTCTCTCGCTAGGCCGAAATCGTTTGTGATGTCCCCGCCCACAAGCAACGTCACCCTCACCCCCGCTCTGTCGTACAGTCCCTCGATCCAGTTGCAGATTCGGTCGGCCGTCTCTGTGCCCCACGCTGCCGTCACATGGGAGAATAAACGGCTACGGTAAGAACGTCTTCCTGTTCAGTGCGGATGCGTACCGTCCCTGCGAGCCCTTGCATCGTCCTGGCTGTGTCGTAAGCCTCTCTCAATGATGTCTTGCTGTACTTGTTGCTCATCAAAATAAAGACCCCGCATATTTTATTTGAGTGCCGTCCCCTTCCGTTCCAGAATCGAACTACCCAATGGTGATCCAACTGTATTTGCGCACTGGGGTAATCCAAATCGGCCCTGTGTTGTGCGCCCGCCATGATCACGCAATCTCATGGCTTGAGTTCCCTACTGGTGTCCTGAAGCCGGTCAAAGTCTGCATACACTTGGTTATATGTCACAATCCGTACCATGCTATCGCACTCGGTCTTGGGGCGCGGGACAAAAATAAACGTTACCTTGTGTAGGTTCGCTACCTACCCTTGTCTGGGGGCGCAAAAAAAAACACGTCACCTTGTGTAGGTTTGCTACCTACCCTTGTCGTGAAAGAGGTGCTCCCTGGCGCCAGCTGACCGTCCCTCCCATCCCGTCGTATCGTCAGCACAGCAGCAGTCGCGACCAGAAGAGAGATCAGCGCCATCCCCCCCTCACCCTTCGGCCGCGCGACGGGGTGCACACGAAAGAGGGCGCAGCTGGCCCATCAGGCCAGTCGGTCACCGCTTCTTGGCTGGAAACGGCGACCGGGGGAGGAGGAGGAGGAGGAGGAGGAGGAGGAGGAGAGGGAGGAGGAAACCGTGGAAGCCCTTGGCCGACCAGGCGCCGACGCCATTGCCCTCCTCCGCGCGTGCGCGCCAGAGGACCCTCCTGAGCGGTCGTAAGTTCTGGGCTGCGCTTGGCAGTCGTTGTCAGCGTTGCTGCAGACCCAGAACGCAGAGCTTTGGCTGGCCGCCGAATCGGCTTGATGCGTCGCCGTTTGTTGCTCAAACTGACCTTCCCCTTCCCTTTCCCTCCTCCTCCTCCGCCGCGTCCTTCTCCTCCTTCTCCTCGCTTCTCCGTGGTCGTTTTGGCTGCTCTTTCCTCCGTAGTCGTTTTGGCTGCCAGAGCCGCCCCTGTGCCTTTTCACTCGCTTCTCTCCCTCCTTCTTCTTTTCTCTCCTGCTCCTTGCCCCCGGCGGTGGTGCGCGGCGCCTAACGGTGTGGTTCGGTGGCGCACGCCACGCGGCCGCGGCCCCTTCTCCTCCGTCTCCCGGTCCCTCCTGGCTCCCTTTCCCTCTCCCCTTTGCCTCGCCGCTGCTGCTTTTTAGGGGTGTGCCCTGTCGCCGGCGCCCTGGTGAATAGGCGCCCTCCACCGCGGGTGCTGAGAAACATTCTGGATGGGCACACCCTTCCTTGTTTTTACTGATGCATGGACTCGGCCGCGACACGCCTAGCCCTAGTGGACACCCACTTCAAAGCTAAGTGCGAGCCGGGGCTGCGGATTCAGCTGGGAGGAGGAGGAGGAGGAGGAGGAGGAGGAGGAGGAGGAGGAGGAGGAGGAGGAGGAGGAGGAGGGGAGCTCTGGGGCCGCGGGATGAAACAAAACCCTCGGCGGATGTCAGGGACCCACCCGCCCGCCCCGCACGGGCGCCGGGCACGCGCGGGAAAGCCCCTGACGGCACGCAGCTGCCCAGGAAGGCGGCAGCCTGCGGCGGGCAGCCCTCGCCCCCCAGCGGGGCCGCAGGCGCACCGGCAGAGCCAGAGGCTGCCCCCCGCAGGAGAGGGGAGGACGGGAGGGAGGAGGAGAGGAAGGGGGGGAGAGGGAGGCAGAGAGAAGCGGAAGGGGGAGGAGGGAGGGTGGGGAAGGAGGAGAGGAAGGGGGAGGACGGGAGGGAGGAGGAGAGGAAGGGGGGGAGAGGGAGGCAGAGAGAAGCGGAAGGGGGAGGAGGGAGGGTGGGGGAGGACGGGGAAGGAGTGTGAGCAAAAATCTGAAGGAGCGCTGAGAGAGAGAACGGAGGGGCCTGTCTGGCCACGGCTGGCCTCGGCTGCGGACACGTCCCCCGACCTGAATCTCGGGAGCGGCCCGGTAACCGGAGCCCCTCCGGTGCCCGAATCTGTCGCTCTACATCCACTCGGCGTGTCTATGTTTACTGCACTTCGAGCCTGCAAGTGGCCTCAGAGTGTGGGAGGCGGCCAGCGGTCTGAGCTGGTTGGGCCCCGAGAAGCAAGGGGATCATACCAATCTGTTAAGCGGGGAGGGCGATGAGGCCAAATCCGCCCAAAATCTGTCCCCAGACCCCTTCTTGCGTCCGCCTGGTGCAGCTTGTCACGCCGGACCAACTTTTGATGGCCCGGGGGCCCGAAAGCGGCCCCCCCGGGGGCCGAAGAGGGCAGACCACTTTTTCTCTCGAGCCCAGAACCTCGGTCCTCTCCCCCCTCCCTGCTGGCCAGAGCCGGTGCTGGGCCACCTCAGACCCCCAGCCGACTCCAAGCCCCAAAGTGGTCCTTCTCTCAGTTTCTCGACTGCACGTCGGTGTCGCGAATGGTCGGAGAATAGTCCTCTGGTCGCCCGTCGCCCGTCCTTTGAGCAGGGACCGACCGTCCCTAGGCCTACCACGACAAGTTCTTAGAAGCCCCAAAATATTCGAATCACAAAAACAATGTTCATAGAGCACAGACCCGCTGTATCAGAACAAGGTAGTCTCAGCCAAAACTGTCCTAAGAACATTTCGTGCAAGCCGCAACAGGTTCGTAGAAGATTCTTTGGTAGGCCTATAGGCAAACCAGAACGCTTCGCCACTGCTTGCGAGTCCTCGCCTGTTGCCGGCCGCGACGAAAGCGAGGGGCCGCGGCTCCGCTGACGCCCGCCGCCTTGGACCACAACTTCACAGCCACGCCGAGGTCTCGCACGGCCCCGTGACCTCGACGACGACGACGACGACGACGACGACGACGAGGACGACGAGGACGACGAGGACGACGACGATGACGACACCCGCGGTCGTCGCCGCACATGGCGTGGCTCTGGCGCACGACGACGATTCCGAGATAGAGACCTCCCAGGTGGGGTCGGAGTAGAGGGGGTCAGAGGATCGCGCCGCATCGGCGATACATCGGCGATGCATCGGCGATGCACTGGCGATGCACTGGCGATGCACTGGCGATGCATCAGCGACGTCGGCGATGCACCGGCGACGTCTGCGACAAGAGAATCAGGCTCTGCATCGAGCCGCATCGCCGATGCATCGGCGATGCGGCGCGATCCTCTGACCCCATCTGCTCGGACCCCATCTAACAGGCCTAGAGGAGAGGACACTGACATCCGCGCGTCGTGAAAAAAAAACGGCGGGGGATTCTTGGACGTGGTTCGCCCCCGCGGGCCTGCGCCAAGCCCCCGGGGCTTGGACGAAACGACTCGAGATGAGAAGCCGGTCAGGGGGAAAAGGGGTCAGACCTGTGAGGAGCCACGCTGCGAACAAAACAAGACGGAGGATATCTGGGGAATCCGGCTTCTCGACGTCCCTGGCCCGTCTCGTGCCTCCACAGGCATCTGGAGGCCGCAGGGGGGCTTGAGCCAGGCGTGCGTGAACGGGGGAGAACACATGGATAGAGCGAAGGAAGGCGCACCTTTCGTCACCTTCCCTGCAGCCGTCGATCCCTGCAATTTACTGCCCCACGTAGCGACACGCCCGATCGAGGATCAACAACTCCTGTAGCTTTAGTCAGAGCTGCACGGGGCACTCCACGAACGTACGGCACCGCATCTCAAGTGGGTCCGGGCGGGTTGATCAACTATAGCCGGCTTCCAACACTGACGTCGACTATGTAAATTTACGCGTGGACTGCACCAGCACACTACGATCCTCGATGGCCTTGTCTGGGTGGGGCGTTCTCATTGCCACGTTCTCATTGCCCGACCTTGCTAACGGATGCGAATTTCTGAACGTTTGTCTGGCCTGTCTCGGACCTCTGAAGGCCTCTGGGAGGCCCCAGGGGAGCTCAAGAGAGCTTCGGAGACCTCCGAAGGGACACGCCCCTCCTCCACCTCCGCGTTGCGTTGGGCGGGCCTTAAGAGCCAGCGCTTCTGAGGAGTCGACCCGAGTAACTATTTCATCCATGGAAGATCGCAACGCCGCACGGCCGTGCATGAATGCCAATCGTGAGCAATGCGGGATATCTCGAGGGCCCACTGGGGGCAAGAGCAATACAGCAGCTGCGTTCCGCCTGTTTCTGCCCATGCCACTGCTGCCAACAACTGAATGCCCAGAGAGATGATGCATTATTTCGGCGCACACGTGTATTTACATTCATAGAAACACATATATGTACACACTTGCTCGGGAGTTCGGATGAGGTGTTCGGGTGTTAGTGTTTGGAGTTATGGTGATCAAATTTGGGTATTAGGACTCGGGTGTCAAGGTCAGGGTACTCGGATCGGTGCTCGGGCTTCGGTGGTTGAGTTCGGGTTGAGATGTCTCTGGAAATCAACATTCATATTTCGTATACTTTTTTTTTAGCATTTCAACGTGCTCGCGTTTCCATGACAGAAGTGGCTCCCCAGGAGGCCCAAAAACGGCCCAGGCAGGCCTTCAGACTGCCTAAAAGGCTGAGCAAGACGCCTCAAAATGGCCCATAGAATGACAAACCGACTTGACATTTCGAGCCCTGCCCGAAAAACGGTCCTGGACACTGCCACGGAGCTCCCGAGATGCCATCAAAGCCCCCCAAAGCCCCCAAGAGGCCCACGCTCTCAAGAGACGCCTCCCGGAATCCCCACAAGCTCTATCACCCCGATGCGCTTCATGCACCATATGACCCCGTACTCCGATCGACCTCGCGAACCTCACAACCCCTACGAACCCCATGACCCTGATAACCCTTATGAGCCCTACGGTCATTACAAACCCAATAAGGCCCACGAGCCCTACGCGCCCTCTAAGAGGCCCACGAGGCCTTGAGCCCTATGAGGCCTACGAGCCCTATGAGCCCATGAGCCCAATGAGCTCCTGAGCCCTACGACACCTGTGAGCCCGACGACCTTTGCAAGTCCTTCGAGCTCTACGAATCCTACGACCCCTGTCAGCGCTCCTAGCCCTCAGCCTCAGCCTCAGCCCCATTTGCCCTACGAGCCCTTCTATGCACCACAGGAGCTCACGAGTCCAATGCGTCCTGTGACCATATACTCCTCACGACCTCATGCGCCTCCCAACCCCCACAAGCCCCACGATCTTGATGAACACCCCTCCGAGTCCTATATCACCCCTACGAACCCTCTGAGCCCCATGAGCCCTGTGTGCCCTCCAAGAGGCCCCCCAGACACCTCCCCCAGGAGCTCACGAGCGACCTTGCTCCCACGCGTCCAGTGGACGCGACACCATCAGCCCACATGAGCTCGATGGGCCCGTCGAGCCCTGCGAGCTTATCGACGTCTTCAGGGTCGCGAGCCCTGTGGCCACGATGAGCCCCAATGGCCACGATTAGCCCCATAAGCCATATGGCACCGAAACGCCCTATGCGCCCTATGGCCCCTCTGAACCCCATGAGGCCTATGACTCCTATGAGCCGCATGACCCCGATGAGCCCTGTGAGCTTTGTGGGCCCTCTGAGCCCTGTGTCGCTTATGAGCCTACAACCTTATAAGCCCTCTGAGCCATGTGCGCCCGACGAGCCTCATGAGCCCTACAAGCCCAGTGAGCCCTGTAAGCCCTATGTCGCCCATGAGCCGCATAAGCCCTGCGAGCCCTTTGAACTCTATCAGCCCCACGGGCCCCACGAGCCGCATTGCCCCAAGGAGCCTCCACAACCTATGAACTGTATTAGCCACGTGGGCCGTATGAGCCCTTCGACCCCTACGACCCGTTATGAACCTTGTGAGCCTTTTGAGCACGGTCGGCATGACCCCTATGAGCGCCATGAGCCCCATGATGAGCCTTCCAAGAGCCCGTGACTTCTGTTTGGCCAAGGCCCCTACGAGCCCTAGAACCCTAATGAGCTCCTGAGCCCGAGTAGACCAATGCACCCAATCACGCCTGCGGGCCCTCGGAACTTCATGATCCCCATGAGTCGCGCTGGCTGAATTACCCCTCTTCCCAATTAAGGCTTCGAGCCTCTGAGCCCTCATGGCGGCGGAGAGGCCTTTGATCCATCTGACCTGGTAGAGCCCATGGGTCCTGTCAGCCTCGCGTGACCCATGGACCTTACAACTGAAACGTACGGTACTGGCATGTACCGGTCGCGGCGGGCCTCTCTGGCGCCATACGATAATGATTTTTACAGCGAAGCGAACGAGCCAGTAACATCTGGTGTGTAAAAAGTCATGTGTATATATACACACCTATACGACCACCCTTCGGGTGATAAGGAGGTTGTGTGTGGGGGGGTGAACCAACATCTGACTCAATCGATCTCACTATCGATCTCACTCAACGGGACACTACGGAACACCGGACACCACAGGACACCGCGGGACACTTGTCGATCTCACTATCGATCTCACTCAACGTGACACCATAGGACACCACGGGACACCACGGGACACCGCGGAACACCTCTCGACCTCAGTATCGATCTCAGTATCGATCTCACTATCGATCTCACTCAACGGGACACCAAAGGACACCACGGGACACCACGGGACACCACATCGATCTCACTATCGATCTCACTATCGATCTCACTCAACGGGACACCACGGGACACCACAGGACACCTGTCGATCTCACTATCGATCTCACTCAACGGGACACCACGGAACACCTGTCGATCTCACTATCGATCTCACTATCGATCTCACTTTTTGGGACACCACGGGACACTTCGGGGCACCACATCGATCTCAGTATCGATCTCACTGTCGATCTCACTATCGATCTCACCCAACGGGACACCACGGGACACCAAGGGACACCACGGGACACCGCGGGACACCGCGAGCCACCGCCGGACGGACGGACGGGGGGCCTGGAGGGGGAGAATCATTTGTCTTGACTTCGTCCTAGCAACGGCGGTCACCACGGGACACCACGGGACACCGCGGGACACCGCGAGCCACCGCTGGACGGACGGACGGACGGACGGGCGGGAGGGGGAGAATCACTTGCCTTCACTTCGCCCTAGCAACGGCGGACACCACGGGACACCACGGGACACCACGGGATACCGCGGGACACCGCGAGCCACCGCCTGACGGGCGGGAGGGGGAGAATCATTTGTCTTGACTCCGCCCTAGCAACGGCGAGTTCATTCCTCTCGCGCGCCCACGCAGCTTCGCCTCGCCCGCACCCGCGACACGAACGAAACGAAACGATTTCCTGGTTGGAGGTCTCCGTTCCATTGCGATCTCACCCCCCATCCTCCGATACATGTATATATATATATATATACAGAAGCGCACATACACCGATAAATCCCGGGAGGCGTGATCAATCGCCGTGCACATGCCCTTGCCCGCGCATGCCTTCTCCTAATCCTGCTCCTGCTCCCCCACCGCCTGCTCCAGGCTGCGGGCTGCGGATCCTGTTGTGCAGCGCAGCATGGAGCCATCGCGCGCCCCTCTCCTCCCAATCCTCTCCCCATCCGCGAGCGGCTTGAGAGGGGTGGGGCTAGGGCACGGCGTAAACGGGAGCATGAATTTTAACACAAAGGCCCCCCCCCCGGGGAACGAAGGAGATCGACGGAGGGGCGACGCGGGGAGAAGCAACATGAGAACCAGAGAGAGAGAGAGAGCGGGAGAGAGAGGGGGGAGTAGCAGCTAGGGGGAGCAGCAATCACGACGGAGGAGGGCGAGAGAGGGGAGGAAGAGGGTCGCCAACGCAGCCGGACCACCCAAAGAGCACCACGCAGGGAGGGTACCCCA